ACAGGCAGGCTCGGGAAGCAGCCCCTGTCTGGGAAGGGGCTGTGGCTGGGATGGGAACACAGCAAATTACAGCTGTGCCCATCTCAAACAGGCTTTATCCAGATGTTATGAATTTCAGGATCAATTGCTTCCTTCTTCAGATAAATCTTGATTTGCTGCACCCTTGCAGGTTGTGAGACAGCAAAGAAACTCAGTTGGAGAGCAGTGGCAAGAAGCATTGCAGCAAAGCCTGCCTCGAGTCAAGGGTGGGCAGCAGGGCCTGAACAGTGGCACATTCCCGCAGTGGCTAAAGGGTGAAATAACCTTCATTATGGGAGTCTATTCCCCTGCCCTTGCCTCAGTTATGGGGATCTGTTCCCCTGCACTTGCCTGTGCCCATTGCATGGTGCTGAGAGCAGAGAACTGAGCTCACTTGAGGGGCAAATAATAATAATTATTACCTATTGTTAGAAATTCAAAGCAGCTACTTCTACGTTTGTGCCCTTGCTCTGTCTGTATGGGAGAAACACCTTCTGTAGGAACTGGCATCTTAAGAGCCCCAAAATCCCTCACGTGACAAATCCAGAGTATAAAAGTAAATAAGGCAGCAAGAGGTGGTGTGCAGCCAGCAGCTGCCATTCCTAACACCAAGCCAGCCCAAAAGGAAGCTGGAGGTTCTCAGAACAGGAGCCAAGAGCAAGAGGGCAGGTAAGGGCCAGGATCAGAGCCCTCAGGAGTGCTGGGGTTGGTTTCAGCGGCTGAGACAGCTCTCAGGTGCCCCAGCCCCGTAATTTAATTGATGCTAATTGACTGCTCTTCAGTGTCTGGAGAGGATGTTTTGAGAACTCTTGGCCAAGGATGGATTTCTGTAAGCAAGTGTTTACAAATAAGCTGCTAACCCCCCAGGCTTTAGAGATAGGCACAAACTCTGATTTTCACAGAACCTCAGTCTCCCAGCCAGGCAGAGCAGTGCCCTGAGCCCATGGTACAGGAGAAAAGGAAAATGCAGATTGCAGAAAGGGACATTTACAGTATCTGAGGGAAGTTCTGGCAAAAACAAGTAGGAAAGACCTGAGGAGTTAAATGAACTGAAAAGGTATTTATGGGAAGGGAAGGGAAGGGAAGGGAAGGGAAGGGAAGGGAAGGGAAGGGAAGGGAAGGGAAGGGAAGGGAAGGGAAGGGAAGGGAAGGGAAGGGAAGGGAAGGGAAGGGAAGGGAAGGGAAGGGAAGGGAAGGGAAGGGAAGGGAAGGGAAGGGAAGGGAAGGGAAGGGAAGGGAAGGGAAGGGAAGGGAAGGGAAGGGAAGGGAAGGGAAGGGAAGTAATCAGCTTAAGAGAATGAAGAGGGAGCAAGACCTGCGACATATTTGATTGCCAGGAACAGAGCCCAGCTGCCTTTCACATACCAGACAAGCACAGTTTGACTTGCAATTGCTTTCATTTCATAAAACCCACCATCTGTAGGGAGAGAAAGCAGAAGGTCGAAGTGGAGGTAACATAATCTCTTCCCTATGCCAGTCCCAAAAATTAATCCTGCAAAAGCAGCAACCTGTAGATCATGTAGGAGGCAGTTGCCTGTATTTTGTGACATCTGTTCTAGTCTCACTTGAATAGATAATGCCAGACAGGTGAAACAGAGAAGTTAGGGGAATGACTACACAAGTGATGAAAAGTAAAATTGTTCTTAAAGGATTGTGGGAGGCATCTAGTGGTAGTGATGCACTTAAAGAATGTTAATTGCCAAATAGATAACTGGAATTTGGGAGTTTGAAATGTGCTTATTTTTCAAGGTCATGAAAGGTCAGCTCTAAGTTCTTCTTTTCTCACTGGGAAGATGCAATGTCTCACAAATTATAGTACACACAAAGAAAGCAGAATTGAGCTGTTTTGTGCTTCCCAGTGTGCATTTCTTGTGGTGTCATTAACGAGGCTGTTATCTGAAAAAATAGCTCTATGAAGCTCTGATATGGAGGAAGATTATCTCTCTTGTTAAATTACTGCACTGATGCACAGCCAGAAGGGACTGTGTTTTTCTTGCAGTTAGATGTTCACAGGACCAAACATTTTCCTAATGAGAAGACGTTATTAGAAGCTGCTGTGCACAAGGTTTTGTTGTTGGTCATTATGAGTTATGGGCACTGTGAGAGCTGCAGGGAGGTGTTTCAGGGAGATGCAGACACGTGTGAGCCCTGCAGACGGATTCCAGGAGAGGAACCTTGCTGCAGCCTGAATGCAAAGCTGCTGCTTTCAGTCCTGGAACAGGACCAAAGGCCTTGTCCTTGCCTCCGGCTCTCCTAGAGCTGCCTTAGGCAGGGCTCTCCTGCTGTGCCAGCACCTGTGGGGACTTGGTGACACCTCTGAGCTCTGCCATCAGCCCAGCCCCAGAGCAAAGCTGCGGCTGCAGCGAGTGCTGGGCTTCAGACTCCTCCTGCCCACTCCTTTCATGGCTCTGGGCTGATGGGAGACTGAAAATAAGTGTGATTTCAGGAGTTTGTTTGGCTTGAACTGCTGTGGATTCAAAGGGAAACTATTCATAGCAGTGGCTTTTTTGGAGTCATGGCACAACAATTACCCTTTCTGTCCAGTGAAATGCTCTTAAGTGGCTCCCCTGATCCAAATAATCTCTGCTCTTAAGACAGCAGAGCACAGCATGAGTTATTTTCTTCTGCAGCACAAATTATCCTGCACTGGGTGTCCGAGGCAGACTATTCAGCAAGTATAAAACAGGAACTGAATTTGACAGAAATACCTTCAGACAGCCAGAAAGCATCTTTCACACTGTTTTCCCATCTACATTGTAGAATGCATGCAGAAATGCAGAAATTAATTCAGAAATCCAGATTTGTGACACTCTGGGTGATTCCTGCTCCCCTACTGAAAAAGCCAGAAGAAAACCCCACCCTGCTGCACTGGGGTGGGTTTTTGTCTGTGACAAATGCACTGGCATCTCTTTTCTATGGTTGTTCGTTGTCCTTGGTGGGTCTGGGGGAGAGGAAGCACTTTGGCTTTCAAGGACTAATTCTGAGATACTTTTTGCATGTTTTATGTTGGTTTGACAGGTAAACAAGCAATGTGTTCCACTGACTACACATCAGAGATTTTAATGCATAATATATAATCTAAATGCACAATGTTGCGCTCACCACAGATAATTTTTTATCAATTATGCTCTTTGCTGCTGTTGCAAAAAGGTGTCCATGCAAAGATTCACAGCTGCTAAGCTTCAGAGCCTTCAGCATCCCACACAGTCCGCAGCACAGAGGGTGAAAGGCCCACAGGCTGGGGTGAGGACTGAGCTTTGCCTTCTTTCCTCTATGAACACATGCTCATGTATTCCCCTGTCATTTTGTTCTTTCCTTTTAGAGATGGCAAAATATGACAAATTAGTGACACATGACTGGCTAAGTGAGAAGCCATCACATCACAGACAAGTTACACTTAGTTGACCTGTGCAGAATCTGAAACAAAAATACCTGAAGGAAACATTCTATAATCAACATGAAACAAATTGTAAGTTGTCTAAAGCCTACTATATAGGGCTCAAGTTCTCCAAGAAGCATTTGATATTTGCCTAATTTGGGATACTTTTAGAGGGTAAAAAACTTGGTTTTGTTTTATTCTGCATTTTCCTCCAGAATATTATGAGCATGAACTAAAACTAGGGTTTTGCAATGGCAGAATTGCTAACTGTGCTGCAGTTTTGGTGTGGTTTTCTGTGTGTATATGTTTTGGATTGGGTTTTTTTGTCTGGAATTGTTTTATGCTTTATTCTCTGTTTGAGAGTAGATATCAGCAAAAGCTTAGCTTGGAGAATGCTTAAAGGAACACATAGAGTGCCCAATCAAGCCTGATTTTATTCAGTAACAACAGAAAATAACAGGGGTGAGAGAAAATGTCAGTTTTGCCTTTGGTACAGGTGAGTGAGAAGCCTAAAGCAGCTCTCTGAGGAGCTACCCTGAGCCAAGGGAGCATCCATCAGAGATGGATGGGTGAGATGCAGGAGCAGAGCTCAGCCGTCCCCTGGGACCCAGCGATTGTGCCGTGTGTCAGCACCTGGTGAGAATGCTGATGTCAGGACACATTTAGAGCTGTAATCATCCTTGACAAGATGAAATATGGCCTCTGAATTCCAAGAACATATGGGATTACTGAGAAGGAAAATGGTGTGAACAAGGGCAATTATAGCAATAACTATCCATGACACACTACACGGAGTCAGCCAAGCATAACACAGATATAATGAAAATATTTTTAAAGGCAAACATGATGTAAGCCAGTGCCAAAATGATCTAATTTATTATTCTGTCATGAATGGTAAATGTTAATAACCTCTGTGTTTCATAAAATAGCAAGAAAGCTTTCTTTTACGTATGACTTGCTACATTATTTTAAAGGATACAAAGCGAAGAAGGTTTATTGAAAGACGATGAAAAACCTTTCTCATCTAAATCCTAGTCTTTAATTTTTCAGCATATAATTGCTCTTGTTATTTTTCTACAGCACACCACACCTGCACACCTAGGCAGCTGGCAGCCTGTTAATCATCACAGAACTAGCTCTAACCTTGAGAGGAGCTGCAGGACTGCATCCCTGCGAGGGGACTGAGGTGTGACGGTTCTGCACTTGCATTCTCATTGTCAGATAAAAGTGTAAGAGGTATAAAGTTTTCAGGCAAGAAGCACTAGTTAAAAACCCATCACTTCTGACCTGCTGTGGGCTGAAACCATTCCCAGAGCCAAAACTGCAGCCACAGGCACTCAGGCAAGGCCTGACCTGGCTCTGCACTGGCTGTTCTGAAAGCCAGGAGTTCTCTCCCTGCAGTTACCCTCTGGGTATAAAGTTTAACAGAAAAACTGCCTGCACATCACCTCAGCACCCTGACAGACAGCAGGTCTCTCACAGGATGCATAATTGCTCTGATGTTTAATTGCAACAATAGCACTGATAGGGAACCTTCATTGTTATGCTGTTGTTTACAATCCATATCCATAGCAAAAGAATCATTTTAACAAATACAGAGTCCTTTTAGGAAATTAAGATTTCTTATTTATTTGAGGGGGAAAAACCAACAAAACTAAATTATTTTACTAATTACTGGCAAAGTCATTCTTGCTACATTACCTATTTTTAAAACTCACATTTCATTCAATTAAGATTTCATACTGTTGACAAAATGACGCTGTCCAAAAAAAAAATATTGTAATAGCTGCTATATACAAGCCCATAAATAAACTGCAAGATTTTCAAGCTTCAAGAGACTGAGGACAGAAAGAGATTGTTTAAAGATTAATTTGAGCATTTCTTATTCAGTACATTTGCTGCATTCAGTACCAAGAAAAACACTTTGAATCAAACAAAAAGAATGGATATCGATGGCAACAGAACACATTTGTACTTTGTGGGGATTTTCACCAGTTTATCAAAACCAGAAGGAGCCCCATGCCCAATGCAGTGTGATAAATTCATGCTCCAAACCTCGTGGGCCATGAACAAAATAAAACTGCTTCATCCCAGCCCCGTTCAGGTGCAGCAGGACCCTGCATGCTCAGAGGATCCCAGGAGACACTGGGTCTTCCCTCACAGCACTGCCCCGTCCCTTTCCAAAGTATAAAACCAAACATGCTTTCATGCTTGTCTCAGGCTTGGTGAACAATTTTAAACCAGAGCACGCCTGGATGAAAAACTGCCTCAGCCCTTTGTGCCACTGCCATTCTGCGGTGTCAGTGGTATGTTTCTTGTTGGGGTTTTTTCCAAAGGGACCTTGACTGGTCTCAAAATGACCAATACAGCACAGGAAGAAATGCAGGTAACAAAAATTGTGCAGAGGGGAATACTCTTAAAAATTAAGATTTTTAAAAACAAAACAAAAAAAAAAGCTTTTATATGTTATCTGGTTCATTCACAGAACTTTGTGCTATAATACAATGACTAGAAAATTATCAAGGAGGATTTCAATCTATATTTGTGGTCACAGTATAAAAAAACCAAAAGCAAACCAAAGAAACAAACCAAAACCAAAAGAACTCATATGGTCCAGTATAAAAAATATGCTTAAATACATTGTGTGCACACAATACAAACTCTGAGCACTGTTATCACAGTACTTTTCTATTCCACCTCCTCTGTACATCCCAAGGGCTCTGTCTACAAGGTCTTTCAGGGAAAAAAATAATTTTCAGGCCAAGAAAAGCCCAAATATTTGCACAGCTGTAAGACAGAGCAGTGCAGAAAAGGCTAGGAGAAAACCATACAGAAAAGCCAAAATAAAGACACAGCCATCTACATATTTAGCTTTTACTGACCCTCTCTATGGAGTTAGCTGTCAACAACTGGAGTTATTTGCATTAGGAAACATGAGATTAAAGCCATGGATTTCATGCCTGTAAATGTGTGATGTGCAGTTCTGCTCTGTTCCAGCTGCAGGAATCCAGCAACTAAATCTGGTGCAACTAAAATAATTTCTGTAGAATGTTTTGAGCTGTAAGCTCAACAAACTTGGGTGGACTCTGGGCTTCCAGTTTGGTGATCACACCCAGGTGTGGGAAGGGGAAAAGGCAGGAAAGATTGAGCCAAACTGAAACAGATCTTTATTTTTAGTGCAGGAAGAAAATAGGAACAAAACTTGGTTTGGACCAAACAGAAATTAAATGCATTGAGTTTTTCTAAACTTTAAATTCCATGTCTTTTGGATTAAACACATCACTAAATTCAGTCATATTTGGTGGGTATTTCCTGTTCCCTAAAGATTAATTTAATTTCATTTTTTGATAAATTTACTATGCAATAAAAAATTTCCACTTTGCATATTAGAGTGTAAATACCTTTTCTATTAGAAACAAAAAACACCAGGACCAGGAATGGTCGGAGCTGCTGAATGCACAAACATTTAATTAAGGCTAAAAAAACCCAACACGAAACATCTTATGAAGAGGTGAGGTTGAAGAGTTGCATTTTCTGCCTGTTGCAGTACTTTGGTAGCCCAGTGGATCAGGACAGTGAATTACCTGCTGACCTCTGCCAGGGGTTAAGTTCTGTGGGCTCCGGCTGGGAAGGTGCACGTTTGTGTGGCCCTGCCTCGTGCCCCAAACACCACTCTGAGACCCTACAAAACACTGCTCAGAAAAAACATTACAGTGTTTTTTCCCTCCTCAAAGACAGTTCATAGCAGTACTGAAGCAGAAGCTACTAAATGCTGAGCAGAGTCTGAAACCACAAAAAGAGACTGCAGAGACCTGTTTAAAAGCTGTCTGCAGGAAACAATACACAGACTGGTTTGTAGGCTGGCTGTCTTCACAGTATATCAATGTCTTACATCTTTGTGGCAGCAATTCAGTGTCTCGAAATGACCAGCAAAAGGAGCAGGGTAAGTCACAGCTCTAGGGTTAGAGTTTGCAGAATGCACCCAAAGGAGAGTTGCTGATTGCATCCCCGAGCTGCAGGGGAATAACTGAATGATTTGTATGGCCATGTATCAGCAGACACACATCAGCAGCAGAGGGGCTGTGGGCTGCTCTAGGACAGCCACAGCCAGTTTTGCCTCTGATGATAACAGGGCAAGAGGAAGAGCTAAAATACTACCAGGCCACATCCAGGAGATGTTACAGGTGCTGTTTATGTGCTCATTAGCTTTGCCAATCCACACCCACCTTGGGAGTGGGGTAGCTGGAACCTGCTCCTCCCTCAAGTCCTGCCTTCCTTATAGCATCTAGATAAACACCACACCATGTATTTTGAATCAACTTCACTTTGATAATTCTGTAAGGTAAAAAATGTAAACAGAGAGAGCACAGAAAGTCTGGGATAGTCTCATTACAACATCACAGTGGGAAGCATTTCATTTTAGAGCATAAAAATCCATATTTTCAGAGGTATGTTGCTTTCCCTCAGTTCTGGGAGCTGGAATGATTCAGAGGCAAGAAGCCCTTCTTGCATACGTAGAGTTTTCATCATTGCTGACAAAACCATCCAGTGTATATTTGTGCTGGTCATTTTTACAGATACTGCTAGTAGCCAAGTGCTAGAATGTGTTACAGTTTTGAAGGCAAGCAATGAGGGCTATTTACTCAACAAAACAATGGCAATTCCCAATTCATTAGGCAGTGATTAAAAACCCAGTTTTCTACTGTTACAGTGAGAAAAAGCTGGTGGACACGGTGTCAGAGGTCCTGAATGTGTGGTTTGATTTTCTCTGAGGAGCTGCTGCTCCTGTCAGACTGCTGATAAATCAATGCGGTTTGCTGAATTGGTGCTTTTATCCCAGGTGTTCAGCTTCGTGGGAGTTGTGCCTGGCCTATTCCCAGTCATCTGGAAAATAAAATAGTATAGAAAATCGATTTATTTATTTGCCAAGCCACTCTTGCCTGGATGAAATAAAAGCTTGAAGGCATCTATTTACATTACAGTGTTGTCACGGGGTCTTGAGAGCATATGCCATAAAGGATTTTTAAACAGGTATTGCCAGGATCTAAGGTGATTGGCAAAGATCACTTAATAACACCTATCACTTCAGATGTCTGGTTCTTTATAAAAAACAAATGTCTCCTGTCTCAAGACAATCTAAGGAGAGCTAGAAAAGAATATTCACGTGCTGGCTTAAGTGCAAGAATGCCCCATCAGAGAGCCACCACCATCAGAGCAATACATAGCCAAAATGCTGCTGGGATGCAGAAGTCCATTGTAATTGGTGGGAATAGCCTTATTGAACCATATCCAGAGCCCACAAAGCTGTTTCCTTTATTCGATAGTTTCCCAGAAGGCAGAGTTATGTCCTTTGCTTTCAAAACAGATATTGAAGCTGCAACTTCATGCTTGCTGGTTCCACCTGTCTGCACCTTGCATTAGGTTGGGACTAAAAATACCCATGGGCCTGCTCTGTTCTTTCCGACAGAATTTATTCTGGAACACTCTCAAATACAGTAGGGAAAAGAAAAAAGGAGCAATACTTACAATGTCTGAATTGAAGGGCTTCACATTGATGTTGCGTGCTGAACTGCTGGTGAGGGACCAGACCTTGGTTTTGTGCTTAAAGGCAGCTCTAACCTTTGGCAAAAACAGTGAAACCAGTTGAAAAAGTTGTGTTTATTTTCCCAGGTGCAGCCTGCAATCATTTCCCCTTTTTCCTTCCTCCACACAAATGTCACTGCACTATTAAACAACAAACAGTCCACCCCTACACTTTTGTTTGTCGTTATGGACTTTTGACTTGGAAACTTTCACATTTTCTAACTAAACACAGAGCCCCAGGCTGGAGCACAAGGTGCCCCATGCAGGCAGGCTCTCCCTGGACTTCCCACAGCCCTGAATATCCAGGTGCCAGCAGGACAGAGCAGCTGCCAGCCTGCTGTAAACCGAGTCATTTAAAGATGCTGGATGAAACTCTCTGGAGATGGGGCAATATTCTTCACCAAGGTGAAAATCAGCTGCAGGAAGGACAGATGGTGAGACAAGCAGGTGAGATTTGCCAAGGATTGATGGCTGGGAGTAACTGGTGTGCAGATCAAGAACAGTTTTTCAGACCATCTTGGCCCATTTTCCTGTGATTCTTCATAATACCAGTGCATTTCTTTTTCACCCAGCCACTTCTATACCCAGTCTATGGATGTTTCTTTACAATGTCTGAGTCTTACTTCTCAGAAAGAAATTCTCAAGAATTCCTGCTGTTTAGCTAAAGGAGTATATTAGATATGCACAGCCTATGAAGGAGCCAGTAAGACCTGCTCTCCAAAAATGACAGCTCACATCATCTGTGTGGTTTTTGAGGATATAAATTCTGAAAAGTTTCTGAAATTTATTTCTCATGGGGTTCTGGAAAAATGACAGCAATTCAAATATTTTTATTTGATATAAAACATTTGAAACTTGAAAATTTCTAAGCCTGGGGGAGAATAGGATAAAGAAATATTTTTCCTCCCTACCTTTAACCTGCCTGTTAAATTTTAGTTGATTTCTATAAAGATCAAGAGTTTCACAGTCAGACCTGACTCTCCAAGTTGATTTTGGCAGGGATCACATCAGTGAATGCTCTGAGCTAGAATAGGTTGGCAAATATTAATAAATAATAATTTCTCTACAGAAGAGTTGAAGTGCTGCTGCTGCACAGGAAGCAGCAGCAGGTTATGGGGCACAGCTACTCCTTAACAGCCAGGAAAAAGATCTGTGGGGAACCAAAGCTCTGAGGGTCTCCACTGAGCATTGCCCTGGCAGGCGCTGGAAATGGCTCTCATAAAAACCATTTCTTTCAGTAATACTTGTTGCTGAGCATTTTCTGCTATCTGCCACAGGAGGAGAGGATGCTGCAAGCCAAATTTACATCAGCCTTGTCTTGGCTTTATCCCAGTTCCTCTAATGCAGCCTTAATGCAAAAAGATGCCTCAGTCCCCTGTGAAAAGCTGAATTCCCACCAAGAAAAATACCTGGAATATCTTCTACTCACTATGGTTTCCCATTAAGGACTGCATGAGCAACATCCAAAAGTATGTTTCACTGAGAATAATAGTTATTTTCCTCCCTGGGACTGCAGCTGTGACAGAGCCCCCTCAGCAGGGACTGCCAGATGCTGCTCCCAGTTGGAAGCATCTCCTCCTCCCAGGCAGTCCGTGCCTGCTCAGCCCCTCCAGATCCCAGGACAGCTTCTCTCCTGACTCTTGAACTGCTCCTCTTATCTTGGTTCTGTGTCTCAAACCTTTCTTATGCTAATTAAAACAAATGTCAAGCATGGGTAAAAATGCTGCAAGTCAGAAAGCCAGAGGAGTCATGGATTAATTAAAAGAAAAAGGAAATCGGTGACAAAGCGGGCAATGATAATGCAGAAAATCTGTTCTTGCTTCACACTTATGTTCGTTGAATTTGGTAACACCAGATTTATTAACACCATTGATTTCATACCTCTGAGTTCAGAAGACAGTGAAACAGGAACATGAAAAATCCCTGAAAAAGAGAAAAAGGAAAAAGGGTGAGGTCTGGCTGTGAAAAATCAAATTCAATAATGTGTTTCTCTCAGGATGTACAGAACAGGCATCGGGCAGCTGGAGCCCTGTAAATATCTGAGTGCACCAAACCAGAGTGTCCCAAGTGAAACTGGAGAAACCTGCAGCATTAGATTACTGTGGGGCTTGCCTGGAATTATTCCTGCAAAACTTTCCTAAACTTTGCTGTACTGAAGGAAAAATCTGGCTGAAAATATGCAGAAATTCTTGTTTCATGACAACAAGAGAACTTTTTGCTTGTGGTTGCAAAGACCAAGGAAAGGGAAATGCTCTTAGGGGAACACCATGATTTTTCAGGTCAGAAAAACAAGATATTAGCACTAGGAGAATTTTCACAGCAGAATTTTGCTATCTTTAGGCTTTTAATCCAATGCAAAGTGAAAAGGCCTCATCCCTTTCCCTCACAAAACAATTTTATTTTTCTGGCAGTAGTATTTAGCACCAAGAACCCTGTTTTACTATTTTTGTATCCATAGTGCTGTTTGTTTCCAAGACAATAAAGGATTTCCAGGAGATTGTTTTTTCTCCCTCTTTGTAAGCACTGCTTGGGAAAGAACTGCAACACGCCTATAGGGTTATGCCTCTGCTGAAGTGTCTGCTTAAAGCTAAGCAGATGTTTACATTCCTCCCTGGACAGAGCTGTTTTCCTGGATTGCTGTGCCAAGGAGATGAAGGCTGAGTTTCCTGCATGCAGGACTTCTGTACAGCACAGGGAATAGCTCCACTTTTGATCTTGCCCATATACTTGTGTTTGCTTTCATTTAGTCTCAGTAATGAAGCCTCAAACTGGCATTGAATAATTGGCCTGGTATCTCTACTGAAGAATTCTGCCTGTAGTACACAGTACCGGAAGAATGAATTTCATTTCATTTCTGAAGCTCAGCGCTGTCTCATTTATTTAATTATTGCTGCTGGAAACAATAAGCAGTGGGATACAAGTTCTGTTCTAACAAAGACAAGCAATTGCCAGCACTCTGTGCTTAGCACAGAATTAAAAGACAGAGGAAGGAACACCGAATAAAATGCAATAAACATAAACATGAGAAGACATTACTAATGATCCATTTAATTGGATCTCAGAAGCACTTCTGTAACCATAAATTTCCCCACTAGGTACTTACCTGTAGTGAATTAAAAACAGCAAATATATACTGAAATACTAAAGCGTGGGCATTGACAGCCAAAATACCAAAGATCCATGAGCTCCCCAAGATGGGTAAGAGAACAGCCACGGCTTTAGCTGTTAGTCTGTAGGAGAAAATGAAAATAGGAAATTGTGGTCAGACCATTAAAGAAATGTCAACCTCCACACCAAGGAGTTTATCAATTATGTTCTCACAGCAAGGCACCAGGCAGAACTCTTCTTTACCATGAAATTATTTTAATGGGAAAGATTTTAATTATTTTTTCATCTGTGGAAATAGGGATAACAGAGTACTGGTATGACACAGGATAAATAGAGATGGTGAGTCAGGAACTGAGTGAGCAGGGAAAGAGATCTGGGAGACGGTCATAAAAATACCGCAGTGATATCTTGAGTTTACAGAGAAGTGTGTTAGTGGGCAGCCAAGTGCAAGAGTCAAAAAACAGTGAGCACTGCACACCCAGGTCACAGCACTGGGCAGCCCACACGCTTTCCCTGTGTGGGTCTGCCACGCTGTGCTCACCCAGAAAACTCATCACTCCTCAGGGAAACCTGCCTTGCCATCCAGGACCTACTGTTTTATAAATGCCAGGAGCCATTTCCCCTGCAAGGAGGAACAGCGGAACCTTTGCACACCAGGCACATGTCCAGGGACAGCTCTCAGAGGAGAACTTCTCCTCCTGGCCAGCTCAGAACAGCTTCAGCAGGACAAGACAAAAAGCGCCAAGGAGGGACCAGAATATGGCCCAAGATGTAATCCCAGCTTTCAGCACTACAAACACTTAGAGAGCTCCTTTGGTAGCCCATGGGATTCATGCAGAATTATCAAATTAAGTGTTTAAAATATCAGTTAATTCAGTCTATGTTACAATTACAGATAGAGGAGCCAAGGAGCAGAAAAGAAACAGGGGTAGTGAGAAAGTAAAAGTCAGTCCCTGCTTGCTAAAACCATGCGTTTTAGAAATGATCAGATTTCTATTTAGATGGGAGCCTATGCAAGGGAAAAAGCTGTTTCAGGGAGAATAATGTCCTGCTTGTGCCTTGTGCCCCCTTGTACAGATTAAAGCACACATTGAGAGAAGTGCACAGAGCTGCCTGACAGGAGACAGCTTGTAATTACAGCAAACACAAAACAAATGATCATTTTGTACGACACAATTCAATGAAGAAATCTTTTAATTAAACTTAGAGACAAGATGTCTTGTTCATTTCCGTGACCTGAGCACACACCATCATATCGACTAAAAGTGCATCATGAAGTTTATAGGGAAATCTGGGACAGGGAAGGGAAGCATCTAAATTTTTTTTCTGTTCTGGTTTGGGGTTTTTTCTATATTGATTCATATCTCTGTATGCTCAGTCATGAATATTTCTGCACAATTCAATCTAATTCTTCAAGGAATTTTTTCAGTCAGAAAATGAAGGAATATCTTAAAGCTTGAGGTCCTACTTAAATTTTAAAATACATTTTTAAAGATGCAATTTTTAAACAATTTATACAAGCTTATTTTTGTGAATCAAATATGTTTTGGTTTTTTGTTTTTTTTTTTTTCTCTGATAGGATTAAAGATCCTCCCCAAACTCCAAGATAAAATGTACTGCAGTGGGGACCTGCCAGCAGAACAGTTCTTGCCATGGGCTTTGTGCAGGAGGAGCTGTGAAATGCCACTGAGCACTGAGGAAAATGCAATGTGCAGGATCAGGAGCTGGGCAGGCCAGTGAGCACCTGGGGATGGAGCAGGACCCTGGGAGGGTTCAGGAGTTTGAACACCTGGGGATGGAGCAGGTACCCCCAGGAGGGTTCAGGTGCTCAAACACCTGGGGATGGAGCAGGTACCCCAAGAGGGTTCAGGGTTTAACCCTCTGCAGCCTGAACCAGCAGGGATTGCCACACCCAACACAGCTCCACTTGCAAAGCTGCCTTCATCACAAACCACCTTGTTTCCTTTTTCTCTTTTGTTCTCACACTCTCTGGTTTCATAAAATTTTCAGTTTGGAATATAATTTTCCTCGACTATTTTGTTGCCAAAAATGTTATTGTTTCCCTTTGAGTCAGAGCATAAAAGGCTTAATCTGATTTGTAGCTGGGGGCAGAATAGTCAGGCAATTTTCAATATTTTCAAAATCATTCTTACAGTTTGGATCTCCAGAAGCCTTTAATATTGCAAATTACTCATATAATTTTTAAAATCAGGTTTTAATAAAGATGGCTCTTTATCGAGCCCGAAGTTCAGCACATGTGTAGCAGACTTCCATAATGAAAATGAAAATACAACCAGATGTGGAATTTTCCATGCAAAAGTATTAATGTTTCATGCACACTCTTTTAGAAAAACAGCCATGTGAAGGTGAAATTCATTTAAGACTGAGGGTCAGCTCTGCCTATGATTCTCCTAAATCTCAGAAAGACTTTTTTTAATTTTTCCCTAGTTATTGCATAGCCTTCTATGCTTACATGTTTGGAATTTCATCCTCGGTAGGAAATTATTAATTCAAATTGTTTATGAGCTTTACCTACCAATCAAAGGACCCAGCTCTATGATTCTTGGAGCTTTTTTTATCTTCTTCCACTTACTCCTCCCCTTCCTACCTTTACTCCATTTTAATCGTTGAACTTTAAAAAAGAAAAATACTAAATGTAAAATGCTGCTTCAGAATGCCATTAAGGTAGCAAGGTTAAAAAAATCATAGAAATACAAAAGTTAATGTTCCACTAGGTGCATTAATTCTGACACACTCCACATACTTTATTCGGTTTTTTTTATTCCAGTTTTTCTTTGCTACATGAATATTTTAGTAGATTAGTTCTAGTACACTAAAATATAGAGCACAATCAAATAGATGTTTTTGGAGAAGGAATTCTTCCCCATGCACGACTTATGCTGTGCAATAGTCACTAGCATCAATGGAGCTTTATATTGTCCATAAAATTGGTGACATGAAGCAATAATTTGGGGCAGGGGCTGTGCTTATTTTACAGGCACTGTGGTTCAGCCCCACCAGGACTTCATAAACCCTGCTAGAAGCCTTTTTCTTCTGCCCAAATGTGTCAGAAAACAGAGCAGCCACCTAAATTTCTCCCGAGTGCCCCTTCCATGCCCTGGCCTTGGCAGTTAACAGCCTGTTTCTCACATACATCTTCAAAGCTCAGGTATTGTCACTTTTCTGCAGTCCAATAGTGCCAAGTCTGGTGAGATTTTGTCTCTGCATCTAAACACAACTGAAGGATCAGTCCTGGAACTAATTCATTTGGAACAAAGCAAATCCAGCAAAGAATCTCCTTTCTATTGTTACATTTTGCCAAGATTTTTTTTTTTGTTTTGGTTGGTTGGGGTTTTTTTAGGTATATACCTATCATTACTTAGACAACTTCTGGAAAACACAAAAATACTTAAGAGTCTGATTTAATTTGTACATCTAGGGAATATGGAGAAGCCTTTGGGAGAGGATTAGCTGTGCATAGCTCACCTGTGAGTTCCGTCTGTGGTCAGGGCTGCTCACACCCTGCCCAGCACCGCTCACCCTTCAGCCCAGAGGCTGCTGCAGCTCTGCCCTGCCCTGCCAGGAGCGCCTGGGCAGGGCTGGGAGAGGTTTGTGAGCACCGGCCTGGACAGTGCCCGCAGCTGTGCCAGGTCCTGTCAGCTCAGGGGCTGTTCTGCCAGTGTGCCAGGTCCTGCCAGCTGTGGGGCTGTTCTGTGGGTGTGCCAGGTCCTGTCAGCTATGGGGCTGTTCTGCAGCTGTGCCAGGTCCTGCCAGCTGTGGGGATGTTCTGCGGGTGTGCCAGGTCCTGTCAGCTCAGGGGCTGCCCGGCAGGTGTGCCAGGTCCTGTCAGCTCAGTTGCTGTGCTGCTCACCTGAGCACTCGTGGCTGAGCCCCTCTGGCAGAGAGCCAGAGTCCAGCTCCTTTGAAAATCCTCAATCAATTTTTCACAGACACCTCTGGCAAGAACAGCATTCACTTCCTCCATTAATTGCTAAGCTGTCCATTTAACACCCTTTCAATCTCCAGTTGAAAAAAAAAAATGTTTTCCTTCCCTTTTCCTGTTCTTAGGGTTGAATTCTATTTCCTGAGAAGTTAACCTGCTTTATAGAGCTCTTTTCCCAACCAAATTTCTTCAACTGTTTTTTTTCAGTTGCTTTTGTTTCAGCACTCACTTTAGGACAGGATTTTAAAATCTTCTATGTGTCCTGCTGGGTGGCAGACTGTTAGGCAGCATTTTAACCCAGCTGAAATCAATCAGCAGGGGAAGGGAGGTTTTCTGAGCCGGGTAATTGCCTTAGCTGTACTGCAGCCCCGGTGTGCAAGAAGCACAGGCTTCGGCACCTCTGAGATGTATTTTCATTGCCAACATAATCTGAAATCATTGCACAGTTACTGAAGCTACCAGGGACGCTTTTCCAAGAGCACAGCTGGCCCTTCCAGTGCCTTGTATTTGCAGTTGGTGTGGAACAGCTCCACTCAGCTGTGATTGCTCCTTCCCTCAGTCCCTCTCTGCCCTGCCCTGCCTGAGCACGCTGTCGATATTCACACCAATGCAGAACGACCACACTGACACCTTACAGCAGAGAAATGTCACTGCTTGCAGAAAGAAAACTTTATTACTTCTGTGAAGGGGACCCCTAACTCACAAATCTGTTTTATTGGTTCTATGTGGAGCACTAATCCTTTTAAGACTTCCAACATCCACTTTTCTGTCATGATGCCTGCTGAAGTAAGAACTAAATTCAGACCCATAAGCCAAGATTATATAATCATTGGAGGAAAGACTGTCTAAAAAAAAAGCAGAATTCCTTCACCACAACTCACAGGACAAGGCTGGTCTTCTAACTGAAGTTTCTCTCTTGTTTCTTGAGTTCCTCTCTAGTCACTTCCAGCAGTACCCTTTGTGTTTTATATAAAAGTAAATAAATCCCCAAACCTATGACTAACATTTCAGACTCGTGGCTGAAAAAAAAAAAATTTAATTTAATTGCAATTTCCTGTTTGTTACAAGTAGTGTTTACTCTCTCCTAAGCTGGAATTGGAGAGATGCTGGGAAAGCACGTGTAGCAGCTCCGGCTGTGAATGAAAGTGATTTTCACACACAGCCCTGTCTCCTGAGCTG